GACTAATGCTAATACTAACAATAATACTAATACTAATAGGGATAGTAAAACAAATAATAATAATAATAATAATAATAATAATAATAATAATAATAATAATAATAATAATAATAATAATAATAATAATAATAATAATAATAATAATAATAATAATAATAATAATAATAATAATAATAATAATAATAATAATAATAACAATAACAATAATAATAATAAGAATAATAATTTGACCTGCTAGGGTTTGGTTACCTGCTCTGGCGATTTCCGACGTCTTCTTCGTTCATCGAGTTTGCTCGTTTTCTGGCCACTATGGCCGCCAATCCGGTGGTACCGCCGCCGGCACTTCAACCACCAGACCAGCAACTACCTTTGTCTCATGGGAAAGGTTCTTCTAGACCTTCTTTTGTGTCGATGGTAGGAGCCAAAGTGTCTACCAAGCCTCGACTACTACCCGTTCCTTTGGCGTCTCGCGCCCCTGTTTCTATAGGTAATGCTCCAGCAGTTTTGTTCTCTCCGGTGGAGGTTGACCAACTGAATAAACAAGTCGCCAATACGATTATCATGAAATTTTCTGTTGGTCGACCTAGTTTACTAGAAATTCGTTCTCATATTTTGTCGGAGTGGAAACTTGAACATGAACCAGCCATTGGTTTGCTTGATCCACGACACATTACGATTCATATGGGTTCCATATCTGATGCTAAATTAGCCCTCGCTCGTCACAGCAAAATGATCAAGAATTGCATGTTTCGTCTATTCCGTTGGACACCTGATTTTCAAATTGGTAAGGACAGTTGTATTGCTCCGGTTTGGGTTCGCTTTCCAAAGCTTCCGATTCAATATTTCAATATCTCATCATTGGAAAGGATTGGGGCGTGTCTTGGTACTGTACTGAGTGCTGATGAACGCACTCTTGGTTTCACACATCAAATGTACGCGAGGGTCTGCATAGAGATCGATGTGTCTCAACCATTCCCACAAGAAATATGGATCGGCATTTCAAAGGATCAAGGTTGGTGGCAGAAGGTAGAGTATGAAGGCAATATAGCGTATTGCTCTTATTGTGGATTAGTGGGGCATACGGCAGGATGTTGTCGCAAGAATATTCGTGTAACTAAACTTCAAAGTGTGCCAAAACCTAAAACAAAAATGGAGTATGTTCCGAAGAAGCTGGAGATACCGTTGGGAGAAAATAAGGAGCTTTTGGCTTCGGAAAAGGTAGTTGGGACAACTGGTGAGGCTTCCGACACGAATAATGCTGACAAGATTTCGAACAAGTTTAATTATCCTGTGCAGATTTTAAAACGCTCAGATGTTGACCCTTCGAGATTGGCTGATATGAAGGAAGTTCTAAAGGGCACGGGTCTGCTTAGTGACGAGGAGACGGAAACCCCAAAATCTATGTCGAGTTCACACGGCAACCGTTTTGCTCTTCTTTCTATGGAGAATTTCGGTAATGGGGAACAACAAGTGGCAAAAAATGTTACACAAATTCATGTTGACGCACAACAGATTTTTTCTAACAGTGAAAAATTGTCTAGTCCATCTCGTCTAGACTTGGGATATCAATTGGCAGGCACTGAGGAAAATCAAATCACGGAAAACCATTCCCTGGGTACGGTAGTTGATGTTCAAACGGCTGGACGTGTTGAGGAGATTAATGTTGTGCTTCCTAATTTGTCGACGGGTTCTCTAGCAGCTAAACGACTGGATGTGGGTTATCAATCAGATACGGGGGAGATTAAGAATAAGGGTACACTGTGTGTTTTCTCTGATAATGAGAATGATAAGGTGGAAAATGCGCACGTTATGCAAGTTGTCGAAAAACGAAAACCAGGTAGACCTCGAAAGGTCCAGATTACAGATCTCTCCTCTACATTACCTTAATGTCTGTGCTTTTTTGGAATATTCAAGGGATCGGGAAACCGGAATCTTTGGCGTATTTTTCACAATGGATTCGGGAGCATAAACCAGGTGTTATAGGGATTAGTGAACCGAAGCAAATTAACGATAAAATTGGTGGCTATGCTCGTAAACTTGGGTATCCAAATTACCATGCAGGTGATAAAATTTGGATTTTTTGGTCTACAGATTTTGCAGTTAACATATTTTCAGTTACGGATCAGGCCATTACCATGATGGCTCACGGCTTGATTTCTTCTACATGGATTACCTTTGTTTACGCCAGTTGTAATAGAGATGAGCGACGTCAATTATGGGATACTATTCTTTCGCTGAGTGACGTGTGCACTGGATCATGGATTGTTGGAGGTGACTTTAATATTATTCTTCATCTTGATGAGAAAAAAGGAGGTAATGCAGCGGATCTGAGGGGTATTCAGGATTTTCGCGAGTGTATTATTCAAGCCGGTCTTTCCGACATTGGTTTTGTGGGAAATCGATAGACAATCAAAGAGGTAGTCGAAGAATATGGGAGCGGCTGGATAGGATTCTCATTAATGGTGAGGCACATGTTTCGTTGCCTTCGATTGAGGTTCATCATCTAGCGCGGGTGGGTTCGGATCATGCTCCATTGCTGATGGTTACGGGACAACAATTGAAACATAAGAGTCGATTTATGTTCCAACGTATGTGGCTTGACCACCCATCCTTTTTGAGTTTTATCTCTCAACATTGGATTTCTTGTGGTACAGGTAACTTGGGTTATCAGTTGCAACGTCGTCTTTCTTCCCTCCGTAAGAAGATCAAACAATGGAATTGGGAGGTTTTTGGCCATCTCTCTGTTACTATTCATACTCTTCAACTGCAGATTGCCGATATGGAGAAGTCGTTACAAATTGGTTGGTCTGAGCAATTGGAGAATAGTTTGGCTGATCGTCGGAATCAATTATCTCAACAGGTGGCATGGAATAATGAGCTGCTGCAACAAAAAACTCGAGTTAAGTGGATTGAAGAGGGGGATCGCAACTCAGCATTTTTTCACTCCACTATCAAGGACCGTCGACGTAAAAACCGTGTGGTTCTTACTAACGAGGATGGGTCTATGGAAACCAATTCTAAAAAAATTGGGGATAGAGCGGCTGCTCATTTTGCTGCGCTATTTTCAGCATCGACTTATTATATTAATGATGAGCTATTTCAGGATTACCCTCGTACGATTACGGCAGAAATAAATTCAATTCTGACATCTATTCCTACCGAAGAGGAAATTTGGGCAACGGTTCAGCAGCTTAATCCGGATAGTGCGCCTGGTCTTGATGGATTTTCGGGTCATTTTTACGTAGGATGTTGGTCGATTGTGAAGCATGAAGTGATTTCGTTTATTCAAGGTTTTTTCATGGGAGATCAGTTGAGCCGCTCAGTTACTATGACCTCTCTGATTCTTTTACCGAAGGTGGAGTCGCCCAAAGGTTTTGGTGATTTTCGTCCGATTAGTTTGTCTAATTTTACTAGCAAGCTGATATCCAAAATTCTTGCGAACAGATTATCTCAATTTCTTCATTTAGTTATTAACGAGGAACAAGCCGGTTTTATTAAGGGTCGGAGCATACATGAGAGTATTATTCTAGCACAGGAATTGGTGGAAGATTTTGATCGACGAACTCCTGGAGGTAATCTTATTTTTAAAGTCGATATGTCTAAAGCTTATGATCGCTTGGAGTGGCGCTTTCTTATTCGAGCTATGCGTAATATGGGTTTCAATGAGCAGTTCATTGACCTCATTTATCGTAATATCTCGAATATATGGTATTCAGTTTCAATAAATGGAGATAATTATGGTTACTTTAAGTCTTCTCGAGGGGTTCGGCAGGGGGATCCTTTATCTCCTATGCTTTTCATTCTCGCCCAACAAATTTTATCTCATAATCTGAATAAATGGCAAAGAAACGGCACCATATTTCCTTATAAGGTAGGTCGTGGTGGGCTCAGCGTATCTCATCTTTTTTATGCTGACGACATGCTCTTATTTACCAATGGATCTAAACGATCGCTGCACCATTTCATGAAGCTGCTGAAGGAGTATGCCAAATCTTCTGGGCAAGAAATTAACTTTCAAAAGAGTGGCGTGTATACTCCTAAACGGATGTCACAGGAACGTGAGCACTTGGTATCGGTTTGGACGGGTTGTACTGTGAAGAAATTACCGCTGCAATACTTGGGAGCTCCGATAGTTAAAGGTCATATTCGCGCTTCGTATTTTGATTTATTACTTCATCAAATTGCTGTCAAACTAGATGGATGGAAAGCTAAATTGTTATCATTTGCTGGTAAAATTACCTTGCTCAAATCCGTTTTATGCAGTATGCCCATACATACATTATCTAGTGTGGTTGTTCCGAAGATGGTGATTTTAAAGATTGAGCGTTTGATGAAGACTTTTTTATGGTCGAAACAAGGGAATCGTCGTACCTCGTGGGTTTCTTGGCATTCGGTTTGCAAACCTGTTAGTGAGGGAGGTCTAGGTATTCGGTCTTTGGTTGAGACAATGCATGCATTAAGGGGTAAATATGCTTTTCAATTGATGCGAAAACAATCGCTTTGGGCTCGGGTTATTCTGAGCAAGATTCGAGGTAATCTTTATGGATCTCTACCTATATTAAGCTCCAAAATGTTGAAAGCTATTTGGCCTCATATACAGGTGCTGCGCGGTCATAGTCGATGGATTATTGGGGAGGGGCAAATTGATTTTTGGCGAGACAATTGGCTCGGGACCCCTATCGACTCGGATTTTACTGGTGAATTATTTTCCGTGAGTGCAGGTATGCACATGAGATCTCATCTTGCTGATTTGGTTTCGTCGGAAATATGGGAGAGAATTAAGTTAATTCATATTCAACCGGAGCATAAGGATGAATTAATATTTACAAAGACTCTATCTGGGCGGTTCTCGGTTAGCAAGTATTGGGACTTACGACGGCAACGTGGGGTAGTGGTCGATTGGGCAGATATAGTTTGGAACAAATATACCCCTTTTCGTCTTAATGCGTTTATGTGGAGATTTCAATGGAATGCTCTTCCTCTTGACGACAAAATTCAAACACGCGGGATTCCTCTTGTGTCTCGATGTTTATGCTGTGTCTCTCCCCAAACCGAGAATAGAATTCATTTATTTTTTCGATCTGAGGTGGCTATAGCAGTATGGAGATATTTTGCTCACAAATTACATAAACCATACATTGGTTTGATTGGCTTTCAATTGCTTCGGAATTGGTTACATGATATTCGGAGAGACACTCAGCTCGGTATTGGCACTTTGAGTCTCTTTTTCTATATTGTTTATGAAATATGGAAAGATCGATGCACGGCATTATTTCAAGATATCCCGATGAATGCTTCTCGTATTATCAAGAAGGTGGAGTTCCAATTCACGATTCTTAGCGGGATTTCACTTCCTCGTACACCAGGCAATCCGAGGGAGCAGCAAGTTTTGGCTAGGTTTCATATTCCATTGCGTCAGGTTTCTTCGCGAAAAGGCAGTTGGGTGGTTTGGCATAAACCTGTGAGTAATTGTTTGAAGATTAACACGGATGCGGCGCATCGACCGACTACCTTGGCAGGAGCTGGAGTAGTCAGGGATAATAATGGCGAATATCTCACGGGATTTACTTTATATTTTGAACATACGTGGTCGGTTTTATATATTGAGATTTTTACGATATTGCATGCGATTGTCTTTGCTGGGGAATATGGTTTTTCGCAAGTGGTGGTGGAATCGGATTCTGAAATTGGAGTCAAAATGATTAAAGGTCTGACGGATCCTCATTGGGAAGTCATTCAGCTGGTTCGTCGATGTCGTCGAGCTATTTTTCCTGGGCTACGTATTCAATCTTGTTTCCGCGAACAAAACCGTGTAGCTGATGCGCTTGCCAAGGATGCTTTGATATCTAAGAAAACGGAAAATGGTGTCACTTCGGAATCCCTTCCGTACCACATAAAAAAATTATTGTTTGAAGATAGAATTGGGCTATGGAATTTTCGAAGATAGGATGCTGGTTTGCGGATCGTGATTCCATGCAGAGCGATTTGGATGGTTTCTTCTTTTGTAGGCTTACTTTAGCCCAGTGGTTATTTAGGAGATTATTCTTCGAAGCTTTTATTCACATTATGTAGGGGTACTC